CAGAGAGACTGAGGAGGGAGGCTAAATGTGTCCCTTTCAGGATCAGTTGGGCTAGAACAGATGAGTTTTTGATTCAGCAACATGAGAGGAATTTGATAATTAAATACAACTGGAGCTGAGTTGTGGGTCCTCAAATGGTATTTTGAATCATCATTGACACTTGTTTTTGGCCAGAGGAGATGAGTGAGTGATATGAGAAGAAAAGGAAAAAGAAGGTGACAGGCAAATTTTCACGATTAAAGATAAAAAAAAACATTTCCTTTCTAGCCTGTTTATTGTAGTTGTCTTTCTCTTGAAATACAACCCCTTAACACCCAAACCTTGTGTCCTGAGCCTTGAGGGAAATGGTCAGTATAATTCAAGTCAATTATTTTCTTGCAGTAGTTGTTGTGGACTTACCCCATGAAATCGTTGGAGAGAGGCATCAAGCTTCTGTGTATTTTTGGTAGGAGGTCTGTGTAGTTTTGGTATCACAGAGCAACAGGAAGGAGAATATTACCAGGGGAACCAGATTCATTTTTAGCCTTTCTAAATCTGGTTCTACATGGGCTGCAGGAGCGACAGGAAGCTCTCCCACTAGCCAATTTGGCCCACCCTTGTGTCACTAAGTGGCTGTGGCTTGAGATAAAGCTCAGGGATGACACAGATCTTTCAACCTTTTATGGGTAACCTTTTCAGCTTTCAAGTTTATGGTCCAATATTTCAAATTAGGACACCTTGCAGGGTTGAATTTATCCAATGTGAACTCAGTACAACCTATCCATTGCTACAGGTGCTGTTTGCAATGGTAATGAGTTCATGGCAGGTATGTAATTGTTATTTTTTTTTTCAAGTCAAAAAAACCAATAGGGTATTTATGTTGCCTTCCATAGTATCATCTTGCCCTGAGATCTGCTGAAATTGGGTTGAAAATGAACGCTTCCCACTATATGAGAGCATTGCAGATAGCCATCGCTTGGCCAGCTGGCCTCGAGAAGAGATACACCAGGCTTGATGCACATTTCCGAGCCGCTTTGTTTATCCATACAAGCCATGCAATGGCTCCGGTGGTTTCTATGGTGGACCAGACCTCCATGGATTTGATTGCTTAACCTACCTCGCGTGCGTATTGTCCATGAGGCCCACCCACGTTTTTCGCAGCCACACCGGGGCCTTAATATCTCCGCTGACCATGAAAGGTAGTGTATGTATTTATCAATATGCGTACGCCTTAATCCTCGTTGCTTTTGCCCATGAAGGTGGGATTCTTATTCAGCTCCGATTCCCATCATGTGAATACCGGAGCTGAATAGGATTGCGCACTAATCACATTCGATGAGCTCATCGGAGATATGTGGATGGGTGATCAATCTTCAGCGTGGTGCGTGGGTGGGTTCGACTGGTGCTCTCTTCCGATTGGCAGGCTGTATAAACATATCACGCTATCTTAGTCGCTCTCCCCTTACTTCACTCCCGCGCGAGCTGCTGACCGTCGTAGCTTGCCTCGCCCAAGAAACTTCCGTCTGAGCCGAAGCTTGATTCTTCTCCCTCCTTACCCACACACAACAACAACCCATTCCCCCTGACCATCCTGATAGTCCTCAACGAACTACAGAGTCTCGTTTCATTCGAATTTCCAAAATCGCGGATCAACATGGACCCCGCAATAGTCTCCCGTGCTCAACTCAACTTCGATCTTCCTTCCCGAGTCAGATATATGAAGTCCTTCTTAGACTTTACCGAGGGTCAGCACTCAAGCTCTCATAAATACTGCTCGAGTAGGAGCTGATCTATGTCATCCCAGAGGACTGTCAGATCATGGATGAAGTCCGGCCGATCGCCAAGCCACTGGTCCCCGAAATCGTTGCTTCAGCATGTTCGTTTTTTTCTTATATTCTTTTGTTGGTCCGCTTTCCCGGCGCTGACTGGAGCCATATTGACTTATGAATGCATTCAAAGACACCAAACTGCTCTCCTACGATGCTTGTCGCATGGCGTTTTTCCCCCGCAAAGATGGCGCTCAAGGCACGCACGGTAACCCGGACGATCTCATGGACCGTAATGACCATCTTAGCCTCAATTCTGCTACAATTAAAATCCGGCAAGTTGCTCTCATTCATCGCCCCCATCAAGTCGCCTGTTTTCTTGAACCTCAGCGCTGACTCCGTCTTCTCCGATATACGCAGCCGTAATATACTGGAGAGGTGGGCCATGAAGGTCAGTTTCATTTCGTTCTTGTCACGTCAAGCCATAGAACCAATCATGGTACTTACTTCTGTCCAATTCATGTCCCAGATCTTTACCGCAGACTATCATCAAATGGAGGTAAGAAGCTTCTCTATCCAGCCAGTCCGTAGAGATTTTCGTGTCGCTGATTTTCAAAAAACAGATCTTTGAGTTTTTCGATCAAGTGGGAATCCAGCATACTGGGGGAGCTAGGGTATTTAGCGCCGGGAACCACAAGCCAGTATATATTGACTGTCAGTAAATTAGTCGAGGCGGTAGCTTACTCATGACCGTCAGTCAATTGCTGAAGTTTGTTTTTCTCCCTCAACCGCAGATATTCATTTGGCCATGGTGGGCGATGACTATCTTTCAATGTCTCTGAGATCCCATTTCCTAAACTGAATCCCTTTTTTTCACTCCAGACGTTAGGTTACATCACTTCCAAAATGACCGCCGCAATCCTCACCCTCCCTTCCAGCACCTGGCCTCCTGAGAAAAAAAATAGGGCTGTGCTCGCTTTTCACAAGATCTCCACCATCCACAACGATCTCATAGCTCGACATCATGTGTGCTAACCATCCATTATTGGTGTAGAGTGTCTTGCTCGAGGTCAAGACTGACGCGCTATTTTTGTTTTTGTTTTTCCACAAAACAAAAAAAGATTTCAGAGCTCCATTCGCCATCCACATCGAAGGTCCAAACGCCAGGACAGGAGATTGATCCCCAGAACCGGAAAGAGTATTACAGCCAGGTGTTCATGGTGAGGTCGCCCTCGACGCAGAGCTCCAGCCTGCTCAGCCCGCCGCGCGATGCGCCCTTCCAATCGCTCGTCAGCATCGCCCCGCAGCGGTCATGCAGCAGTCGGCCACGCGTCCCTCAGCCAGCCGACTCTCCGCACATCAGTTCTATTCATCGCCCCATCCCTTTGGCCTCCGAGCTCCATTGCCATCAGAGGAGCATCTCCTCTTTCGGCGACACGTCTAGTTATTTCCCTGGAAAATATGAAGGTCTATCGCTCTCTTCTTATTCAATACTCACAACCTCTCCCTGACTCGTCTCTTTTTTTTTCCTGGCTCTCACAGAAAATCAGGCCTTGACTCGTCGCCCTTCTAAAGGAGCTATCAGCATACGCAAGTTCGGCACAAGGTCCAAGAAGCCCTCTTCGCCATAGACTGCCGCCCCCTCAGCACCCCTCCCTTTTTTTCTTTCCTCCTGCTTGCAAGCAAAAAGAAAAAGAAAAGAAAAATAACTCAAAAAAAGAGAACGCTAGTTTGATTGTCTCCTATTTTTATATCTTATTTTTTAGATAGCTGCAAAAGAAGTCTTCTATCGTATATATCTATCTAACAGACCACCTAAATCTATTTCTTTTACTTGTAGCTTTTGGAGCTAGCTACTCTTCTCCTCCTCCTTTGCATACCTAGGAGTCAGATCCTTCTCACTTTGCTGTATTTTTTCATTTTAATGAGGATATCATGTGGTTTGTCTCATTTTTTTTGTGTGTGTCTATGATTGGTTTTCTTGTTGAGTATGCAGCTGCTATCTATATATCATCCACAAATATCATTTAGCGCTTATTGATCTAACATGCTCCATTGATCCTTTTGGCCCTTGGGTGTTCCCATATGAGCAGAGGAAACATAAGACCTATGGAGATTTTGTTTGTTGTCTGCTGCAATGGTTTATGCCTCTGTATGGCCAATTCAAAACTCCCCTCTCAGGCTACACAAAGAGGACTCTTACGGGGATCCGAGTTAGGTCCTACTTACTACTTTTTCATGTGTGCATCACTTGCTGCAATACTAACTTTGCATCCTCAAGAATCTGTAATGACAAATAACCTATTTACGATACCAGTCAAGAGGGCCATTTAAAGTAAAAAAAAAGGACAAGGTAACCTGGGAATGAATTATATTACATACATCATAGCTGATTTCAGCCCACATTAAAGTGGTTGGGTTGGTGAAGCCATGCAGAGACACCCAAGTGAATATTGCTTCAAGAGCTTCACTGCTGATATATTGGCTGTAAAAAAACAAAACAAGGAAATGCTGATGTGTTTCTGGCATGAACAACAATCCAACAGGTTGCTATGACTCGGATTATATGTGCTCACTCTCATTAAAGTTTGAAAGAAATGTGGTTTATCAATTGGACAGAATCATTTGCAATTATCCCCTGTCTCAATAGCTCAGTTGGGAGAGCGTCAGACTGAAGAATGACGCAACTGTTGGTTGTGGTTAACATGCTATCTGAAGGTCCAGTGTTCAAGCCACTGTTGGGACATCCTTTTTGTGTCGGCTTCCACGTTTCAAGTGATTAAGATCGAGAGTCTTTTCGAGTTCACTTTACTCACCGGCGAACCCGGAGGAGGGTTAGCATCAACATAAAGGACACGGTTGACTTATTAATGACTGACTACCTGTTTTTGTCGATTGGGCTCTTGCCTGGAAGGCGACTACCAAAATATCCAGGTATTAAGCTGGTTGTTTGTTTTTACGAAGGCTCAATTACATTCCGGCTAAAAAAAGAGAGTTCTTAACGAAATGAGGAGCAACAACGAATCAAAAAATGGACGATGATCGGATGAAACAACAAATCACAAGATGGCCAATCATCGGATGAAACATGCCCATTCAACAAAGAAAACGGTATAGGTATATGGAAATGTTTCTAGGTCGGACGGGAGGGCCCATAGCCGGGCGAGTATGCCAATGATGTAAGCTTCCCTTTTGTGGGCGAATAAGCTTGCTAGCAATACCGGCCTTAATGATTTGAGTGGTTTCATGACTAAGGGCGGCCATGAAGGGTGTGGATACGCAGCATAGATCCGTCAGGCTTGTGGACGAGGAGGTTGATCTGACGCCGATAGTGGACACCAGATCGCCCGCAGAGATCTTGGCGTAGTCTTGCTCCGGATGCTTGAAGTTCAGGCCTAGCGCACCTTGCTTGATCTGGTTCACTAAAGGGATTCGCGCAAATGACTTCGCCACTGGCTTCACCCCCAGAAATCACGGGTGCATACTCGCGTGCTCTCGTGCCGATCCTTCGCGATAGTTCGACTTCGAAACCAGTATCGTCCCATCAAGCATCCTGTCTCAAGTTATTTTTAGTTTGCAATTCTTTCAGCTTCAAGGAGGGTCAATTGCTCAAATTTACTTATCATTACTGAAGATACCATTTACTGAAAATTGAATGATCCTGTGATGCCAGAACTTGACAGAGAAAAAAAAATCCAGCTAAGCAGGAACCGTCATAAAGGAAATAATGAAAAAAGCCTCCAGTATTTCTCAATGAAATGATTACAATGCTTAAGGGTTATGAGGGTGGTGGTAAATGATGTTCCAAATTTTGACATAGCAGAAGAGCACTCTTCTTTGGTGACTTTAAAACACGGGGTATCAACCTGCGGTGAAAGCTAGGACATCAACCAAGTCTAAGATTTTTTTTGTAGTTTTTATCTTTCAGGGAGGGGCCGGGAGTTCGCACCCCGCCCCTGCGGCTACACCTGTAGCCGCAGAGCCCGGGTGCGAGCC